GTAGTAGTTAGTAGTAGTAGTAGTAGTAGTAGTAGTAGCAGTTAGTAGTAGTAGCAGTAGCAGTAGCAGTAGCAGTAGTAGTAGTAGTAGTAGTAGTAGTAGTAGTAGTAGTAGTAGTAGTCGTAGTAGTAGTAGTAGTAGTAGTAGTAGTAGTCTAGTAGTAGTAGTAGTAGTAGTAGTAGTTAGTAGTAGTAGTAGTAGTACTACTGTACTAGTACTAGTACTAGTCGCCGCCTCCTCCGCCTCCCTCCCCTCCTCCTCCTCCTCCTCCTCCTCCTCCTCCTCGTTGTTTTTCTCCTCCTGGCCTCTCAGAAGCCTCTCAGAAGCCTTTCAGAAACCTCTCAGACGCCTGTCAGAAGCCTCTCAGACGCCTCTCGGAAGCCTGCCAGAAGCCTCTCAGAAGCCTCTCAGGCGCCTCTCAAAAGCTCTTCAGAAGCCTTTCAGAAGCCTTTCAGAAGCCTTTCATAAGCCTCTCAGAAGCCTCTCAGACGCCTATCAGGGAGCCTCTCAAAAGCCTCTCAGAAGCCTCTCAGAAACCTCTCAGACGCCTCTCATACGCCTCTCAGGCGCCTCTCTGAAGCCTCTCAGAAACATCTCAGAAGCCTGTCAGAAGCCTCTCAGAAGCCTATCAGAAGCCTCTCAGACGCCTCTCAGAAGCCTTTCAGAAACCTCTCAGACGCCTCTCAGAAGCCTTTCAGAAACCTCTCAGACGCCTCTCAGAAGCCTCTCAGAAGCCTCTCAGAAGCCTCTCAGAAGCTCTTCATAGGCCTTTCAGAAGCCTTTCAGAAGCCTTTCGGAAGCCTCTCAGAAGCCTCTCAGACGCCTATCAGGGAGCCTCTCAGACGCCTCTCAGAGATTCTACCGGGGAATCAATCCGGGGAATGGTTGTACCGGGGAATGTCAGATCTTCCCGGGGAAAGTCCGATTTTACCGAGGAAAGTCTTGTTGTCCCAGGGATGGCGAGGTCTAATCTGGATCTGCGTATGACCCCACTCCGCTGGGCCCCCCAGCAGCCCTCGAAAGTGGTGACAGTTTCGCAGATCGCAGCCCCCCAGGGATGGCGAGGTCTAATCTGAATCTGCGTATGACCCAACTCTGCTGGGCCACCCAGCAGCCCTTGAAAGTGGTGGCAGTTTCGCAGATCGCAGCCCTCCAGGGATGGCGAGATCTAATCTGAATCTGCGTATGATCCCACTCCGCTGGGCCCCCCAGCAGCCCTCGAAAGTGGCGACAGTTTCGCACATCACAGCCCCCCAGAGATGGTCAGGTAGGAGGCAAACTGGCATGCAGGAGCGAGCGAGGTAGAAAGCAGGGGGGAAGAGGAAAGAAGGAGGGGGCTGGAGGGGAGGGGAGAGGAGTCGCGATCGCAGCTGCTCTATTCAAAACGAGAACCCCACGCAGGAGGGTTGGGAAATCAGAGTGAGGAGGCAGAACGATCATTCATTATCCCTGGGTGTGTGGCTGATTAGGGAATTCGTGGTGAGAAGTATGTGTGTTGCGTTATTGTTGTTGTTGTTGTTGCTGCTGATGCTGCTGCTGTTGTTGTTGCTGCTGTTGCTGTTGCTGTTGCTGTTGCTGTTGCTGTTGTTGTTGTTGTTGTTGTTGTTGTTGTTGTTGTTGTTGTTGTTAATGTCGATGTTGTTGTTTGTTGTAATCGTCCCACCCGCGACCCACCCGCGACCCACCCCGCGACCCACCCCGCGACCCACCCTGCGGCCCACCTCGCGACCCACCCCGCGACCCACCCCGCGACCCACCCCGCGACCAACCTGCGACCCACCCCACGACCAACCCGCGACCCACCCGCGACCCACCCGCGATCCAACCAGCGACCCACCCACGACCCACCCCGCGACCCATCCGCGACCCACCCGCGACCCACCCCGCGACCCACCCGCGACCCACCCCGCGACCCACCCTCAAGAGAGAAAAAACCACCCGGACCCGACAATTGACGTTTACTAATCGGCACTGGTCGCTTTCTAAACAGTCCTGCCCTGACCGATTCATTCCTGGTATGCGTTTACTACACGGTTTCGCACTAAACGGCTTCGCTTGTCGGGGTGATTATTGTGGAATTGATTTTCTACCCTCTACACCCGCGACTCACCCGCGAACCAACAGCGACCCACCCGCGACCTACCCACATTGTTTGAACGAGAAAATCGTCGCCTGCGGCGGGCTCTTTGTATAATTTGTGAAACTTTGGCACCTGCGGCGGGCTTCTCCGGATTTTCGCAAACTGCCGACGTCCCCGCCGCCCCTTTCACTCTTATCCGCATCTGCGGGGTGCTACGTAAACCTCACCATCCCTGGGGGGCTGCGATCTACGACGCTGTCGCCACGTTCGCAGGCCGTTGGGGGTTCAAATTCGACCTCGCCACCCCAGGGGGGCTGCGATGTGCGAAAGTGTCGCCACGTTCGAGGGTTGCTGGGGGGTCCAGCGGAGTGGGGTCCCACGCGGATTCAAATTACACTTCGCCGTCCTTGAAGGTTTGCGGTCTGCCAAGCAGTCGCCACGTTCGGGGGCTGTTGGGGGGTTCAGCAGAGCGACGTCCTACGCGGACTTGATGTCGACTTCTCCATCCCTGGGGGGCTGCGATCTGCGAAACCGTTGCCACTTTCGAAGGTTGCTGGGGTGTCCAGCGGTGTGACGTATTACGCGGACGCAAATTCGACCTCGCCATCCCTGGGGGGCAGCTATATGCGACGCACGCTGTCGCCACCTTCTGCGGCTGATGGGGAGTCCAGCGGAATGACGTCTCACGCGGGTTCAAACTTGACCTCTCCATCCCTGGGGGGTTGCGATCTTCGAAACCGTCGCCACTTTCGAGGTTTGTTGGGGGGTCCAGCGGCGTGAGGTCCCTCGCGGGGGCTGCGATCTGCGAAACCGTCGCCACTTTCGCAGGTTGTTAGGGGGTCCAGCAGCGTGAGGTCCTACGCGGGCCCAAATTCGACCTCGCCATCCCTGGGGGGGTGCGATCTGCGAACCTGTCGCCACTTTCGAGGGCTGATGGGGGGTCCAGCGATGTGACGTCCCACGCGTAATTAAATTAGACCTCGCCATCCCTGGGCGACTGCCATCCGCAAAACTGTCACCACTTTCCAAGGCTGCTGAGGGGTCCTGAAGAGCGACGTCCTAGGCGGACTCAATCTAGACCTCGCCATCCACGGAGGGCGGGCTGCGATCTGGGGGGAGGCGATCTGCGAAACGACCGCCACTTTCGAGGCCTGCTGGGGGGTCCAGCGGAGTGACGTCTCACGCGGATTCAAACTAGACCTCGCCATCCCTGGGGGGAAACCATCTGCGTAAAGGTCGCCACTTTCGACGGCTGCTTTGGGGTCCAGCGGAATGGACTCAAATTCGACCTCGCCATCTCTGGGGGGGCTGCGATCTGCGAAACCGTCGCCACTGTCGCGGGCTGCTGGGGAGTCCAGCGGCGTGAGGTACTACGCGGACCCAAACTAGACCTCGCCATCCCTGGGGGGTGCGATCTGCGAACCTGTCGCTTTTTTCGAGGGCTGATGGGGGTCCAGCGAAATGACGTCCCACGCGCATTCAAATTAGACCTCACCATCCCGGGGTGTCCTATACGCCCCGGGGGGCTGCGATCTGAGAAACTCAGAAACCGTCACCACTTTCGAAGACTGCTGGGGGTCCACAAGAGTGACGTCCTAGGCGGACTCAAACTAGACCTCGCCATCCACGGGGCGCTGCGATCCGTGAAACTCTCGCCAGTTTCGGCGGCTGTTTTTGGGTCCAGCGGAGCGGATTCAGATTCGACCTCGCCATCCCTGGGGGGCTGCGATCGGCGAAACTATCGCCACTTTCGAGGGCTGCTGGGGGTCCCGCGGGGCGCTGCCGCGGGCCGCCCGCAGACCTGGCGGCGCGCCTTCGAGTGTTTAGCTCCCTCGCTGAAAAGCGCGGGAAGGAAGCAGGGAAGCTGGCGGGCAAGCTGGGCCTTGCTCGCATCTTGCACGAACAAATCGCAGGTTGATGCATTTTGTCGAGCGCCGCGGCGTCATGGCGCATGCATCGCTGCATCTTTAGCGTGCTACCGACAAAAGCAACACGCTTCGGTCTCCTCCCGTCACTTTCGTCGTCGTCCTCTGCCCTCTGCCACCCTCTCTCTGCTGCTGCCGTGCTGACGGTTCGGCCCCCCTCGCGTCCTTATCCTGCCCTTCGTTCCCGCCCTCATGTCCTCTATGAGCATGGGCCCTCGCTCCTCGTCTTTCTGCTGTTGTCATGTGAATCGTGCCTTGTGAGCGCACCCTATGTAGCTTGCACAGCATATGACGGCGCCAGCACTGTCACTGTCCCGGCATATCTAATGTGGGACAACTTGTCTTTACACTTGATGTCAATGGGTTGGGTACGTCGCAAAGCAATGTTAGAGCTTCCGCTGAGCATCTGCGCGAGGTCCGCCGGAGCAACCTTACTCCAGATTTCGTAATACAAGGGAGGGGGTCTGGACCCTCCAAGACGAGCCATTTCAGACCCCCCCGTGGGAGAACCCTCCAAAACATCGTCCCCAGACCCCCCCAGGCCCTCCAAGATAGCCTGGAAGAGACCCCCCCCCGAAATGAGACCCCCTCCCTTTTATTACGAAATCTGGAGTAAGAGTCTTGGGGTCCCTCGTTTCCTGGCCGGCTCCGCTGCGCGGGAGGCCGCTTGGAGAGGGGGCCTCCCCCCAACTCGCTCGGGGTGCCTCCTGGGGGGCTGGGCGCGGAGGCTGAGCGAATTTCAGCCGAGGAGGGCCTCCCTTCCCGGCTTCTCTCTGGCCGCTGTCCCACCAGCACCCATTCACATCCCACGAGGGGGCGCCAACCAACCCTCCTCGTCCTCCTCCTCCTCCCTCTCCTTCTCCTCCTCCTCCTCCTCCTTCTTCTCCTCCTCCTCCTCCTCCTCCTCCTCCTTCTTCTCCTCCTCCTCCTCCTCCTCCTCCTCCTCCTCCTCCTCTTCACTGACCCGCTCGTGCTCCAGCCGCGCGAGGGGGCGCCTGCCCAGCCAGCCCTTCCGGAACAGCCTCAGGTCGAGGGCCGTGGGGACGGAGCCCGCCAGCAGCTCCTGAGCGGGGATCGCTCGGGGCGTCGAGCGGGCGGTGATGGGGAGGGCGGGCAGGAGGGGGGAGGGGGGAGGGGGGGGGTAGGGGGGGGGGGGAGGGGAAGGAAGGGGAGGGGGGGAGGGGGGGGGGAAGGGGGAGGGAGGGCGAGCAGGAGGGGGGAGGGAAACGGGGGGGGAGGGGGGGGGGGGGGAGGGGGGGGAAGGGAAGGACCGCCAGCTGCTGCGGCTGGTGCTCACGAGCCTGGCGCGGCGCACTTTGGACGCGCCCTTTGCCTACCCGGGCGCGCAGCGGAGGCCCCCGCGGGCGCCCGCGGCCTGCGAGCGCGGGGTGCGGCGGCGGGCCGCACCCCGCGCACGCGTAGTTGCCAGTGCTCCACGAGGCACGAAGTGCAGTGCCCCGAGGTCCTTTCGGGTCCTCTGCATCGGGGGCTGAGGCCCAGTGGGCCCGCAGCCCGAGCTGCGGGCGAAGCCCTGGGCGCTCTTGAGATTTGGCGCGGGCCCCCGCGTGCATTTCCACAGGGGCCAGAAAGCCCCAAGGCAGGCCAAGAGGGCCTCAGAGGCTCCCAAGGCGGTTCAAGAGGGCCCCGAGTGAGCCCAAGGGCTCTCTCAGACGCCCTGGCCTCATGATGACCGCATGACGGCCCACGAGACCCCCGTGGCAGAGGGCCTCAAGGGGGCAAACTCAATGATATTTCATTGGTTGTTCAATTCGCTTGGGGATCTTTTCGAGCTTTCGAGTTTCCGACGATCTAATTCGATCCCCAAGATCGCCCAAATGGCCCCAGAGCCCCCCAAGAGGCCCGCAAGACGGCCCAAGCGGGCCTGAGCACGGCCCCAAAGGCTGTCAAGCCAGCCCCAAGAGAGCCCTGAGACTGGGAACTCTCACTCACATATTGAGCACTGCGCCCCAAGATGACCCCCGAGATCGCCAGCAGAACCCAATAAACTACAGGAGGCTCAGACGCCCGAAAGAGGCCCCAGGAGGCCACCGAGAGGCCGCAAGACACACCCAAACCGCTTCCAAACGGCTTCCAAGAGGCCTCCCAAGACATCCCCGCAGGCTTCCAACGGCGCCTCTGTCTACAATCCAGGCGCACTGGCGGGGTGGGCCGAAGGCCACCAGATCCGCCGCCCCCTGCGGTCTTGCCGCAGGGGTGCCCGGGGGCGCCCTGGCGCTCCAGGCAAGACGGCTCAAGCTGGCTTCTAAGATGGTCACGTTGGCCCAAGATGGCCTCCAGGATAACCCGAGATGGTCCAAATTGCCTCCAAGTCCGCCGAAGAAGCTACCAAAACGGCCCAAGATGTCTCCAAGATGCCTCCGAGTCCGCCCAAGAAGCCTCTAAGATGGCCCAAGACGATCCACGAGGCTCCCAAGACGCGCCCAAAACGTCCTCCAGGAGGGCCCGAAGAGGCCGAAATCATTGATTCTCCTTATGTTTTCGAGAGATTGTGGCATTTGCTCCTGTTCGGCGCTCCAACAGCCCAAGACGGCCCAAGAGGCCCCCGAGATCGCCTCCAAATAACCCGGAAGGCCCCTCAGACGGCCACGAAAGAGCCCCAAGACAGCCCAAGAGGTATCCAAGACGCCCGTGATGTCCTTCAAGACGACCCTGGAGTACCCCAAGAGGGCCCCAAGTCGCTCAGAGAGGCCCCCTAGACGGCTTCCAACGACGTCTGACAGGCCAAGAGCCCACCAAGACGGCCCAAGATGGCTCCACGATGGCCCACGACGGCCTGAAAGTTCCCCAAGAGGCTTCAGGTTTCCAAGACGGCCCTAGACGCCTCCAACGCAAGGATTCTGACATGTGTTTCATTTCTGCCTTCCGACGGCCCGACACGGCCCAAGAGCTCTCAATGATCGCCCCAAGATCGCCCAAGTGGCCTCCAAGATGGCCCCAAGACGCCCCGAGAGGCCCCCAAGACGGCCCCAAAATGTCATTCAAAACGGCCCTGAAGCGCCCCCAAGGGGACCCCAAGACGGCCCAAAGAGACCCCCATGACGGCCCCCGACGGCGTCAAGCGGGCCAGGAGGCCACCAAGCCGGCCCAAAATTGTTCCACGATGGCCCAAGACGGTCCAAGAGGCTTCCAAGAGGTTTCCAGGACGGCCCAAGAGGCCTCCAAGAGAGCCTCCAGGAAGGCGCGACGAGGCCAATCTCAGTGATTCTATTTGGTCATGGGAGGATTTTGGCATGCGCTGCTATTCGACCTTCCGACGGCTCGACACGGCGCAAGATCTTTCAAGATCGCCCCAAAAGGCATCCAAGGGTTTGAAAGGGGCTGGGAAGCCCAACCAGCAGCTTCGCCTTAGGCGAAGCCCAACTCCCGATCTGTTGTACCGTAGTAGCGATAGTCCGAGTAGTAGGGGGCGAGCCACCTCAAGCAGTTTTGGTACCGATGGCAAATGATACACCTCGCGCTGAGGTGTAGTCAGATCTGGGCGGTCGGCCGCTTTGAGCCAAGGAGCCGCGGATGCACGCTCGTTCCCACTCACATGCAACACCCAGTTCACTTTAGAGTCGGGGGGGGAGACGAAGCGTGAACCCGCCGCCTCTATAGAGCAGGTACAGCAGCTACTATGTACAAAAGGGCAGCACAAGGGCGGGGCCATAAGGAAGGTGGACCCGCGCGCAAGTTGCCTCGCCTGCACTTTACTGTGCATACGAGTACTCCTCAGGCGGCTACAGATCGAGATGGCTGGCCCGCCCGATAAGGAGTATGACGTTTTAGAACATGTTTGAAGGATTGCGTACCTCCCATGACCTGTAAGACATGTCTCTGTCGATGCTCCCTTTGGTGTGACCGTCCGCGGCCATATCACGGGTGTCACACCACTGAATACTGATCTGTCGTGTCCAGCTGATGTGTCCTAAAAGGGTACACCCAGTCGGCTTCGTCAAGTCTTTTCTTGACTAGGGCTCAAAAACAGACTCAGCATCTATGGTCAAAGTGACCTTGATGCTCAGGCCACCCAACCCAAGTATGTCTTTCAACTGAGTGGGGTTAGTGGCCCTGCGTGGAGCTCGTGCAGAGTCACGATCGTGGGGTAGCAGTCCTCCAAGTTGCGGGCTGCTGCTAGCGTCTCTGCTTGATACGAATCTGCAAGCGGCGAGACTTGCGGTGCGCATCGATCAAGTGAATCACGGGCTTACCGGATGGCGCGCTCCCACGCCGTAGCAGGTTCGCGACGCGAATACCAGTCTTTGACTTCGTCATCGGCATCCCCACTCAGGCGTCGGTGACCTGAGCCGCTGTGCAGGTCAACCTCGCCCGTGGGGGTTATCGCCAGGTATGGGGATCTTCTCAGGGCGGACCTGCAGTTTCCTGGTAATCGCGCTCGGTCGTCGCACTTGTATGTTGGTCGGTTCTTGGACGCGTTGTAAAGAGACAGCATACACGATCAACCGCACCTGGGTGATTAATGCATGCGCCAATGCGCCTCTAAGGCTGACGAACATGTCTGAAACCATGTTGGATGCTTGGGCGTCAGCGTCGGCGCCTGTATGTTCAGGATGTTGTATAGCACGGAGCTGTTTTATGTATTCGTCTTGGTCCAACGTTAGATTGCCGTCCACATCCTTGGTGTATCCCACAGCACACTTGGTGCATGTGTGCTTGTTGAATTTACACTTACCAAAGGTGTCTTCTACGCACTTGACGCACTTGTCAATGGTGTCCTCTGCGCCGGCCATTTTGATGTCAGCAGCGTGTTTCGCCGTGAAAAGTCCACTGCTCGTCTCGAACTCCTCGTCGTAGGACGTGGGTCTGAGACAGAAGCCTATTGTGGTCCTTCTGAGCTCTAATGAGAAAACTCGGGGCGCGTCCTTGGTGCCAGCACCTGGCTTGAGGCGCTGCAAGCAGTGCTTCGACTCGTCGTAGCGCTCGGATCCTGGGAGAGTTCGAAGCACCGCAGCCGATCCAGGTGGCGGAGTACAGCGCACCACGCGTTCTTGTTTTCACCAGTTGCCTCAGCAAGTTCCTGGTGGGACAACCCTTTCAGGGGGGCCATTTTGATGTCGAGGGAAGCAATGGCCCAATGCTCCTTGCACGCTGCCGCGCTCGCGAGTAATCTCCGGCTCGACCGCGGCGCTGTTCCCGAACAGGCTTCCACGTCGAAGGCATCGAGGTCCATGCAGCGTCGAAGCACCAGGCGTAATCTGATGGTACGTTCCATATCGCTCGTCATGTTCTTCACAAGCTTCCACTTGTACACATACCTCGAAGTCATGATGGTTGGCGCTCTAGATACAACTTGCATGTTGAAGCATTTGCTGTCAAATCGTGTCTTGAGTTCATTGTATAGGGCTTTCGATACTCTCTCGGGAGTCGCCTGGACGTCACCCTTCGCGAGGAGGGCGTCTTCCTTGACGACCGCAGCTCACTCTGCAACGGCGGCAACATATACTCGCATGGTGGTCACACGGTCGGCATCTCATATCCTGCGCTGTTGTTCGGACAGGACTACATTTAATATTTCTGCCGTAAAGCAGAGTTATACATAATGTCCGTTTTCGTATGAGTCCAGCTTGTAACTGCAATCTTCGACCGTGGAGCACAATGGTACATGATGCGTCTCCTCGACGTCAGAGTCGCGTGGGTGTCCCCACTTAGGCAGGCGCCCCCGCTGGTCTTCAGCTACAGTGGCCAGCGCACTGTTGTCTGGAATCATGTGTGGGTGCTGTGAAAAGGGTCCTTTAGTGGAGTTGCGTCCAGGTGTTGCCTTTCATCATGCAGTTCTGTGCGCCACACTCCCATAATACGTGCCCTGAGATACGCTCCGAGTCCTCATATAGCGTGGAAGACCGTCCGTCCTCCTGTGGCGGTTCGGCTTCTGGGGGTTCTCTTGCAGCTCCGTCGGTATACCCGCCAATTCCTCAAACTTTGTCATATCTGGGTCAAAACCCGCTTGAGGTTAGGTGGACTTCAGGCACTGCTGATTCTTGAATGTGCTGATCCAGTTATAGCATGCATGTTAAGAGCGGTGCCTTCTGCTTCATAATAGTA